GCCGTCTTACGGCGGGACCGGGGTCGGGGTACGTCGGGACAGTCGAGGACAGGGAGTCGCTGGTGGGTGATCAGTCCTCCAAGTTCACTCCGAGATGTGCGCGGAGTTCTCCGACTTGGGCGGAAACTGCTTTAACTTTTATATGACTAACAAGCCAATCACTAGTCGCCAAATATGAATAATTTAGAACTGGCCAATGGTGGTGCGTGTGTTTGCATAAAGCTGGCGGGAACTTTTCACTGCACCGGGGTTTTCTACTGTGGCGGGAAACCCCACAGCGTTATGGACATCAAATCAATGAAACCTTCCACTGTGACAAAGGCACTCAACTCATTTGGTTATGATAGAGAACACTAGTGTTGAGGTGATGGTGTTGCCATAATGGTCAAGGAGATATGCGAGAGGCAAGGATTCTCATGGATCATATCTTCTACTGGACCAACTGTAGTGCAGACCAGTGAAAGTATGCAGCTTTCACAGGAGTTCATACACCGAGGTGCACCTTAGATGGCCCCATAATCTTCACCTCAGTTTTCTAACACATGTAAGCACCAGAAACCAGCCTGTCTCCACTAGGATTTCACCTTCCATTAGTAGTCATGAGTTAGTTAAACCTGAGGTAAGGACACCTCTTTTCCCTGGAGAGTACAGGACATTAACGTTTCATCCTATTGGCTTTGCCCTTTGTGCAGAACAGTGATCAGAAAAGGAAAATAAATATAAGTTGTGCCTTCCTTTCTTACTTACAGCAAATAAAGGAAGCCTGAAAAATTCTACACGCCCACACACAAATTCCTGAAGGACAGACTTTTTCCCTTCCCTTGCTTGATCCTGACATATCAAATATTCAAATCTTATCTTCCCCAAATCTATTGGTGAGTTAACTGGATGATGCACAGTGGGGTGAAGACTTCTCTCAGTACTTGACTGCAGTTTGGGCCCATCCAGACAAGTGCACACATGCCTCTTGCAGTGTCTCAAAGCCCTTTGAGACGCTGAAAGAGGCATGTGCGGGAACAAGAGTGTTCCCAGCACTGCAGATTTGCAGCGCGGGGGCACAATTAGACCCCTGGGGGGTCAAAAAAATACCCCAGGAAAAAAAAGTGGGGCAGGGCACAGAGGGAAGCATGGGGGGACCCCTGCTGGTCTATCCCCCACCCACTCCTCAACCCCTCCCTGCTCACTGCCCTGCCCGGCCCCATCCCCTGCCTGCTCCTGCAGCCCCCTCCCCCACTCCAATGGCTACTCCGCCTGGCCCCAGCACCCCGTCACTTAAAAAAAACAAAAACAAAAAAGAAGCCCGCACTCACCAGCTGTAGCAGCAGCTGGCGGGGCCCCGGGGCAGAGCCTCCCCCCCACCCCCAACGCAGCCCGACCAGCCACAAACTGTCAGACAGCGTGGAGCTATGTGGCTCCTGTTGGTGGGGCTGTGGCCCCTATGGGGGGCTGTAGCCCTGTGGTGGGGGGCAGTCCATGAGCTGTATGGGGGGGCTGCACCCTGTGAGAGGCAGGGGAACCATCCCTCCTGAGCAGCGCCCCCCCGCCCCCAACCCGATCCACCCACACCTATCCACACATCCCACAGCCCACCACATCCCTCCACAGCCACCCACAGTTCAAAGCAGGCCACCACACTGGGAACATCTTCTCAGCAATAGCTGCCCAAATGGCCGGGCAGGAGCACACATGGCAGTAGTGCCGCATAAAGGCCAACTCTGCAGCTACAGCCCACTGGCAGCCGGGCCACTGGGAGGTGGCCTCCAACGCG